AGAATTGACTATATTGGTTTTTGTTAAAACTATTTAATAATAAATTTTTTCTTATCTAGCCCGCTCAAACCAAAATTGATCTTTTTGCAAGATCCGGTTCTTATCCATATACTAAAGCGAAGAATGATAAGCTAACCAAAGCTCTTGTTAAGTTTATTATCCAGGACACACAACCAATTAGTCTTGCAGTAAGCCCTAACTTCTGTGAGTTCATAAAGGAATTAGATCCAAGGTTCAGTTTATCTGATGAAAAATGAGTAAAGCAAATAATTCATACATTATATAATAAATCTTCCGAGATTATGCGAAAAAAGCTCAAAGATTCTATAACATATTGTTCACTAACTACCGATTTGTAGACATCTCGTAATAGACAGGGGTATCTTGGAGTTACCTGCTCATGGCTAGATTCTGATTTCAAAATCCATGAAGTATTACTTTCTCTTACATATGTCAGATACCCTCATACTGCCAATGTTATCCAAGAAAAATTAGAAGAAGTAATTGAAAACTGGGGTCTCACCAGAAAGGTATATTCAATTACAACCGACAATGGGGCTAATATGAAAGTGGCAATTAATAAAATGAGTAATATAGTAAGAATCCCATGTTCAGCCCATACATTACAGCTTGTTGTTGGAAAGGATTTGATGCCTGTTGAAGTACTCATGGCACGCGCCAAGTGATTAATTAATTTTTTCATAGCACCAAAGCAAAATGAACGACTCGAAGATGCTCAAAAAACACTAAGAATCTCAGATAATAATGTAAAGTTTGATTTTTTAATAAAATAATTAAAATACATGCCACTTAAACAACAACTAATTCATTAATAATCGTTATGCTAATATAAGGTTATCAATAGAAATATTTCAGATTATAATAAAACATTCAACTACTCTCAAACTATAGTGGTTTATATGTTTTATTGTAGCTTGAAATATTCTATTGATAACTCTGAAAAGACGTTTTATAGTTTCTATATTTTATATCATCAGCTATTCAATAACTAAAATACTTTTATTATAGATAATTACTAAAACTTCAAC